GCCCCTTGTCCCAGGTTGTCCTAGATGCTACAACAAATGATGAGGCACATGTTCCGTTATCCAACTGCGCCCAGTCAATGAATGTGTTTGATGACATTATAGCTGAGCTAGGTGAATATGATATGCTTCTACCAAGGAAAAAATCCAAGACATGTATAACAATAATAGAAGAGGACGCCTTGAAGGACCTTTTTAAGCCAGATCAGCCAATTCCAAACGATTCGCTTGGACAAGAAAACCTAATGTCTAACAAGGAAAAGATTTCCTTCGACAACACTAGAGCAACGGAACAAGAATCTGGACAAGTGCTGAGGGATATTGCAGCACAAAGTGCAGCAAGAAACAAAACAAGCACTGTTGACTTGACCTCAATTTCACCAATGGTATTTAATGCATGCACTTCCAATGCTGGAGAAGGGTCATCAATTGGACTAGTTCAGAAACTTGGAAGCAATAACGATGAGGTGAACACTGTTCTCAACTCAGAAAACAATTCAAGTTTTGGTTTGTTATCTAATGCATTCACTTCCAATGCTGGAGAAGGGTCATCAATTGGACTAGTTCAGAAAATTGGAAGCAATACGGGTGCGATGAACACTGTTCTCAACTCAGAAAACAGTTCAAGTTTTGGTTTGTTATTTAATACATGCACTTCCAACGCTGGAGAAGGGTCACCAATTGGACTAGTTCAGAAACTTGGAAGCAATAAGAGTGCGGTGAACACTGTTCTCAACTCAGAAAAAAATTCAAGCTTTGGTTTGTTATTTAATGCATGTACTTCCAACGCTGGAGAAGGGTCATCAATTGGACTAGTTCAGAAACTTGGAAGCAATAAGAGTGCGGTGAACACTGTTCTCAACTCAGAAAAAAATTCAAGCTTTGGTTTGTTATCTAATGCATGCACTTCCAACGCTGGAGAAGGGTCATCAATTGGACTAGTTCAGAAAATTGGAAGCAATAAGGGTGCGGTGAACACTGTTCTCAACTCAGAAAACAATTCAAGCTTTGGTTTGTTATCTAATGCATGCACTTCCAACGCTGGAGAAGGGTCATCAATTGGACTAGTTCAGAAACTTGGAAGCAATAAGGGTGCGGTGAACACTGTTCTCAACTCAGAAAACAATTCAAGCTTTGGTTTGTTATCTAATGCATGCACTTACAACGCTGGAGAAGGGTCATCAATTGGACTGGTTCAGAAAATTGGAAGCAATACGGGTGCGGTGAACACTGTTCTCAACTCACAAAACAATTCAAGCTTTGGTTTATTACCTAATGCATGCACTTCCAATGTTGGAGAAGGGTCATCAGTTGGACTAGTTCAGAAACTTGGAAGCAATACGGGTGCGGTGAACACTGTTCTCAACTCAGAAAACAATTCAAGTTTTGGTTTGTTAACATCCCAAAACAATCCAAATTTGAGGGCTGTTGGACCAAAAGCATGGTATCAACCAAGTGATACAGTGAGCACAGCAGTCAGACCAGGGATTATTGATCTCCCACAAGTTAATTCATCAGTTGGTGATTCCATTTTCCCTCAAACAATAGGGAATTCATCTGTTCAATCCCAACCACACTCATCATATTCATCATTTGGTGATTCCATTTTCCCTCAAACAATAGGGAATTCATCTGTTCAATCCCAACCACACTCATCATATTCTTCATTTGGTGATTCCATTTTCCCTCAAACAATAGGGAACTCATCTGTTCAATCTCAACCACACTCATCATCACCAAGCCTCCCAATGCTTCGTCCATATGGTACTGGTCACCAACATTTTCCAGATAACCTTAGGTACCAAATGACTGGGTTGGGTCCACTAGGTACTCCTGCAATAGGAGCAAGCCCTTTGGTTCCTCCTACACCAATCGTGCCTCAATTTAATCCAAGAAATTTTTGGCCTTCCCCACCAACTCTTTCAGATCTTCCATACTATGTGCCTGCATGGGAGGTAAAGTGGCTAGGTTCATTATTTAATTAATGACCAACATAATGTATGCTGTGATAATGCATCGCAAAATATTGAAGATATTTGTTTCCTATATATATTTGTTAATTTAATTTGTTGCAGAACTACTTCCTAATATCTAAGCTTATCGCATCTACGCAATTGTTTATATTTATTAATTCATTTAATTTATCATTAAATTTGGCAATATGGGTTTAGAACCTTGCTCACAAATAATTGATTTACAATAATTTTTTCTCTTGTGCGTCCAGGGAACTTTGGCAGGACAAATCCACTCGAACCACAAATCCCTTCATAAAGCAAAGGTATGATAGAATTATGTAATCTGTAAAAGAATCTTTCTTGGCTTAGAACATCTACTTTGTAGGGTTAGATCAGCAATGGGTTATGTTCTTAAGTTCGAGCAACCTGCATTCTAACAAATATGGAAATTAATTAATTACAAAATAGCTGAATTTTCCCCCTCTTTTTCCCAATGAAATAGGTCATGAAGAGAGCAGCAGCACCCTTGACGTAAGTGTATCTTCTCTATATTGTCCAATCCAAAATTTTCAAAGACAATCTTGGTGTTACATTTTCTCAATTATTATAGTCATAATTTTATATTTCCTTTCTTTATTTGTAATTAAATTAGATTTAGGGAGAAAAAAAAAAGAAAGGAAAAGAAAGTTTTTTAAAACTCTTTTCCAAACCATATTTGAGAGTTTTTAAAAATAAAGAACTGGGATTTGAGGTTTTGTTTCTATACTCTCTAAAATTTTTTCTCTTTTATATTTCTTTAGTACTCCCATTTAAAAGATTTTTAACATTCAAATGAGAGAAGAATTTAACCTTCATTCCTTTCCACCTTTTCAACCATTTTTTCTCTCTTTCTTCTGAACTTCCAAATGCTACTGATCATCTATTTATGTTACTCTTTGCAGACTTACTGTTCAATGGTCCCCAAGGCTGGACATATCCCTCTTCTTACCAAAGAAAGCTGTCAATCATACCATGAAGTAATTTTATGACGTAGTGCTATTGTTGACTTTTTATCTTTTGCAAGGAAATTATAAATATATTATAATAACATTTACATGCAGGATGTGCCGTGGACCTATAGATTACTTGATCTTCCATATATTGCAGTTCAACAATCTTGACTTGTACCACCATCTGACGAAGAAAAACATGGTCAGTAACCTATACTTAATAATAAAAATGTCCAAAATTATGTTATATTTCAATTTAATGGTACTTTCCAACTCTAAATTTTTTTTTATTTGCATTGCCGTAGTTCTGCTGCGAAACTGAAAAATTTACTCGAATGTGCAGCAATGTGCATAAGTACTATGTTAGTACACACATAATGGAAATAAATTCTCTCTCTCCCGCGCAATTAAATTTAGCATTAAAAGGAATAGATGATCCATTTTCTGCATGTAATATACAAGATCCTTTTATGTTGTTGCAGTGTGCCAAAATTGATCTCCCTTTCCAGACTTTGATCTTATCTGCAACCGAAAGCAAACTCCATTACATAGGAACAGTTTTCCCTGGGGTGAGTATTATGTTAATATTATTCTCTCACGTTATTATTTTCCTTTCAAGTTTTCATCTGAATGTGTCTTTTTCAATACTCAATTTGACTCATCAATAAATGACAGGATACAATATTTATTGAACCGATCTTCTAAGTATGCATCTGCTCTCAAAAGAAGCCGAAGCTACAAGTTGAAGGAGCCGCAGTAGGAGTTCTAACTTAGAAAGAGAATTAATGGATGGGAGAGAACAGGCATGAGATCATGCCTTTCTTTGTTTCTTAGTTTTTGTTATGGTTCTTCTTAGAACAGCAGTTTAACTGAAATACAACTAAACATCCTATAAATTCAAGGAGTCCTCATTTCCTAAAAATCCTCGTTTCTAATACATAGCCGCTCTATATTGAAATATGCATGTACTACAAAGACCCTTGCAAGAAGTGGCAAAAGTACTTCACTAAGGATAAACTGTCTAAGCTCTTTTGTATAATCTCTTTCTTCTTCGGGCCTTGCAACAACCATTTTCATTCAAATGACGCTTTGGATTAGGATCTTCTGACAAGAGTCACAGTGGGAAAAGGTGAAGTACAAATGTGCATTTGTTGACCTTTTGAATCATATAAAGCTAATCAGCTAGAAATAAGATTTATCCGCTTGGAATAGAATTTAATGTTCATACACAATACCTCAAGTGAATTTGTTGATAGAGTTCTTGCCCGTCAGCTTGAATAAGATCTAATAATCTTTCTTTTTATTTTTTGTCGTGAAGATCTACTAATCCTGAAATGTATTTAATACTCTTATGATACCCAAAATAAATTTTCTTAGTGCATTTTTGGACTAGCATTCACTCTACTTAAATGTGAATCCAGTTAATAAAATACAATATATTTTATGTCTTGGACATGCATTACACAATTTTTCACCCTGATCCGAACATGCATTTTGAAGTACTCTGAAGGGCATTTTGATGCTGTTACGCATCCATATCCATTACCTTGAAATAAAATATGATAATTTAGAAAAAAAAAATACATGATACTACGAATGCTTTAAGTAAGTTTTTAAAGAAGCAAATAATACCATTTGATCAAAGTAACAAGCAGTTTAGTTCTGCTTACATAAGGTATCTAGCTTTGAGTCTTATAAATAGGAAAAATAATCCTTAAAACTGGAAGAATTTTGTCAACTAAGACAGGTCTACATAATTCAATTTTGATTAGTTGAGGTACACATTATATTTTGGATATCAGGGTTTCAAAAAAGATTATGCCTTTTCAATTGCCCATTTTTTATGGCTGAATTTCCTCAGCTCTTCATTCTTTGAGGATTAGTTTGTCCATCACTCCTTTAGGCTAGGCACCCCCACTCTTTTTATCACTTAAAAAATTCAACTTCAAAATATATTAAACACTATTGAAAAATTAATTCCGAATATCGATTCACAAATCACTTTCCAGAATAAAAATACTAAAAAAAATTTAAAAATATTGAACACTTAGATAATTAAGAAATCTGCCAATTCATGGGGGCTTTTTCCTATTATCCAATCAAAATTCATTTGATCAGTTACGGCAAATGCTAACATCAATATCTTGTTCAACACACCGTAATAAACTTCCAATACATTAAGCATTATTCAATACATCAACCCCAAAAAATATAATCATCAGAGTTGACGATAGCAGTTAAAATTTATAACCCATCAACTATGTTTTTACGTTGCTTGCTATATACATTCACAATTATATCTCTAAATCAATTTGAATTAACCAATTGCGGGGGACCCAATTTGGAACCAACCCAACGGAAAACTATTTAGTTCACAATTTCCTCCATGATTTGTTCTGCGCAGGAGCAGTATCTCTTCAAGCATCCTCCGAAAAACTATTTTGCATTCTTCTTGTCAAAATCTTTTTCAAGAGCCTCTTGGCGTGCAAGGCACACATTAATCCAAGATACCAGAATGAAGAACAAAAGTTACTTCACAAGGTTACAACCTCGCAGTACAACAGTATTCTAATGGCAGAAAACAAAAACACCTTTCTCCGCAGCTACCATCCTTTTGGCTGGAGTAGTTCCAACAATTCTTTCCAGCTGAAATTAATCCAAAAACAGAAGGAGTATAATACAATTATGATGTCAAACTCCAGAGAGAAAAGAAAGAAGAATTTAAGATTACTGGATTAGCAATATTTATTATCAACAAATACTGCAAAATACTACAATCCAGCAGAAAACAAAAATACAGGGAACGTTCACTACTCACTACCATCTCAATGTATTGCTACCACATTCCCACCTCTTTACGCCTTTTGTCATAGAATAATAGTACACTCATGACAATTTTTAATTTACCACCAAAAGGTAGTCAATCCCAGAGATACAAATTAACATTTTCTCATTCAATTAAGAGAACCATCGTTTTAACAACTAATTAAGTCACTATAATATCAATTCTCTTTCCGTGTTCCAAAGGTGTGCATAATATAAACCCATGAGCCCTATCATACCATTGAGGTTCTAATCCATAGGTATTATAAGAGAAAATATCCAGATGGTCTAAGCAATTATCCATGTTTGAAGAAAATATTTGCAGTGTGCAATGGAAGTTTTTCTTGAAAAAACAAATAGCTCAAGATAAACAAAGCCAGTTGAGATATGGTGGCAAAAAAAGCCTATATATTATGTATAGGCATACTCAAGTCAATAATGTAGCAGTAAGAAAGATATTAGGAATCATAAGATCCAAACCATTAAATACCAATCTTTCCATTAATCTCTCCCTTTCTAGCACCGATCATCTCTTCATCCAAATACACACATAAACCCACACAAACTACACTCCAGCCAGTAACAAAATACTTAAGGGACATAATCAAAGAGAGTAAATATTACCCGAAGCTTGTCAAGGCTGGAAAAAAGGACAGTGCATGTCATATTGTCAGACCCATCAAGCATATTCACAATCTGCAATAAAAAAAAGGACTTAAGAATCAAAATTATGTTTTCAGTATCACTCAGGGATAACATCTGATGCAAATTTATATCAGCAGAAAAAAGAAACCTAAAAAAATTATGAAATGCATAGACTATATAAACAGTTTAGAAAGAATAATAAACTAATGAAATATATTTTGGTTGTGCTCTTTTGGAGTCTGTTGTTGGAGCTTTACTCCAAAATTTTTAGCTTCATTGTGGGCGTGCAATATTGATTTTCACAGTTTTTCAAGGTTTACCGCGCAAAAGGACTAGTCTGAACTTTGTAGCCACTAGAGGATTCCAATTTCATCAGTTTTATATTCCATTCTCAGTGAATACTTTGTGAGCGATAGAGAAACAGAAGAAAAAAATACCCTACTTTAAAACGTGCTTACCTCAGGGTAAAATTCCTTCCTCTCTGGGAGTGAATAAACGATCAAATTCTGAACCCCACGAATCTGCCATCAAGTAAACTAGAAATGTTGATATTTGTATCAATAAAAATATGAAAACGGAGGAAAATAATACCCCATACCAGTCAAAACTTCAGTATTCAAAAAACAAATTATGCTTACACAATTTTCCATAATTGTCTTTCATGAACACTGCAGACTATGAATTCAACAGATTTTAATTGTTTATTTTGTGTAATATAATTCCCATTAGAAATGGAGGCAATTTCAACATTTAGTTAAAAATACAATTCAGTCCATGAAAGAAGGTTAAGTTGCTTTTGTCCTTGAAAGCACATGTCTAAAAATATTAATCCCTAAGGATATGTTTGAGGAGTTGAGGTTTCGAAAGGAAGGGAGAGGAGGGTCAATATTTTTTTTTTAAAATTTAAAAAGCAATATAATGTTTATAAAAGCAAATAAAAAATTAAGCATTAAGTTTATACCAATTTATCATTTTATAAATTTTATTTAAAAAATTTGAAATTAAAACAAATTAATTAGAAATTAAAAAATTTCCTTCTCTTTCTTCTCCACCAAAATCTAACTCTCAAATACACTAAAAGTATTAACTTGCTAAAATGTTTACCCTATCAAGTTGTCAACTTGTAAAGGATTTCATTCCTCAAAGGACTAATTTGTATAGAAAACCACACAAATTGTCACTTTCAGGACTAAATTATATATTTTACTCTTCAGCATTTAAGTTACTGCATGTCATTAACTTGACAAATAACCCACGGTGGCTCTATTTATTTTTATTTTGAACATACAGCTATTAAATATCTGAGGAAAAAAAAAATAACAACAGGGAAGAGAGGGATGGAAATATAAACTATTTCAGTTTCAATGCGTAACCTTATATCTGTGGTAAAAATGAGATCTCTCAGTGTAAAGCATAATTTTTCTTTTTCCTTCATAGAACCAAAGACGCGAGCGAGATATATCACTTTGGGTCGTATACCTAAATAAAAAAAATAAAAAACTTGTAAATCAAAAGGCAAGATAACAAAGAACTACCTTATAACAACTTAGGAAAAACAAAAAATGGAAATGATCACAACAATAACAATAAGGGCATAATAATGGAAATGGATCCTTACTCCCCAAGCAGACAAAAGGAGGCATTCTGTGACTTCAAAAAATTTCGAATTCGAATAAATTCAAAGTAAGAATTCATAAATAACATGATCCCTCCCTGCATCAAAGAAAAACAAAAAGTATTAGATAATAAATTTAAATTATCACATCATACAAGAAAGGTGATAGTTTTTAACAAAGTCAACCTGATCTGAATCTTTTATTCTAGGGAAGACCTGTAAGACAAGAGCGATTGGCATTATTTAAAAACGACCGTCCAAAACATGTAGTAATGAGCACATAATCATTAATACTATTTGGACCATCCTAAGGCAGTTAAAGAAATTGAACAGAAATATTTTGCTGAACACAAATGACAAGGACTAGAAATACTTTGGATATTACTACATAAATATTAATGTTTAATAATATACTAGAAATATTTAATAATATACAAAGCATTTCTAGTCTTTGGATCTCCGCATAGTAATGAACACATAAACATGTAGAAAAGACTTCTACAATAGTGAGCTTTAGTAATTGATATGGAAGCATCATTAAACACAACAACAACATTTGACAAGCACGGCAAAATTATAGGTTTAAAATTATATTTCTTCTTTAAACTGTCTCCAACTACATTCGTATTAATTAAACTTCATGATGACAAATTTAAAATCCAATCAAAAACAGAATTTTACACAAGTGACATAACTACTGTTAAGGATGTATCCAAGTTAATTTACTGATTTTGAATACAAATAAAAATTGTATTTTATTTGCAATGATCAAATAAAATATAAATGCTTTTGCTAGGTGGCATATAATATAACCAACAAGAACACACATCAAAGGCATAGCAGCGTTAAGAATGAGTGAAAAAGTTATCAGCGTACATGGACATTAACATGGACTCGTATTCTATGTCCCGAGATAATGTGCAACCATATTCCATTATTTTTGCCAATTGCAATTTGTATTTTTAGTGTAGCTCTCTTGTGTGATCCTGTTTAATCTCAAAAGGTTAAATTTCAAGCAATTGCAATTAAAAGTAAAAGCAAAATATTTTTGTTGTTTCTTTATATCATTTTCAGTTACTTGACTCTGTTAAAACTGCAGTATTTACCGTAAAAATAACTAGCTGACTTGAGTTAAGAGTAGGGGAGTCACTGTTCTTATTATAATCTATTATGGATAAATTAACAAATACTGATACAGGGAGTCATAATTTCTCATTTAAAGATAAAACCACTCTACTGCCATTCTGGTCTATTTATAAACGACAGATTGATTTTTAAAAATCCAGATTATACAAAATTAATGGTGGAAGAGAGGATATATTAGGGTTGAAATGAATTAGAATGTGAGTGAGTAAATGAGAAGGCCATGTGACAAATATATTCGTTGGTCAGAGAGACAGTACTACGGGACAGTGTCTAACATGACAACAAAAACTATGCAACTGTTAAAACGAACCCCACAAAATTTTGGGGCCGTGGATATCCAGGTTAAAGTTAGCCATCTGGGCTCACTTGAGCAATGTTTTTCACTCATTACAATGTTCACTTGACATCTGGCTTGAGCCAAATTAGTCAAGATTGAACACTGATGATAACATTCTCTGAAAGAATGGACAGTAATCTCTTCAAGACCACTTCAACAGAACATTGTAATATTTTCACAACCAGAAGTCCATAATACATACCTTCTTAACAAAATAATCAAAACGGGCATCATCAGCTTCTACAATTGAGTCTACAATAAATCGTTCATAAATCTACAAGGTTTAAGATTTAGATAAGTATTAGTGCAGTAGTGATTAAAGTGCAAACTACAGTAATAAATCAACATAAATATTTATAACACAAGAAACAGAAAAACGAATTGCCTGACCTCAATAATAAAGAAAAAATGATAATGAAAATCAGTATATCAAATATCAAACAAACTAATCATGACATGAAGACCCCATAGTATGTCTGCTATTACTTGAAACAAGTGATAGCATTTTAGCAGCACCCCACTTTTCACATAATTGGACATGCATGAAATTATGCTAATTTGATATTACATTCATTCCTAATGAAAACCCATCCTAAAAAATATTATTTCTTTAGTATTTCCAAATAGATAATCTAGTATAATATATAGCAATAAAATATAGCAAGGTAGATTGATATCATTATTGACTCATTTTTCCCAAGTACTTTCTAGTAACAATAAAACAATAAATATTATTTTGCATATCACATAAGATCCAAGGAAATTAAAGTGCAATAATATTGCCAATTAGACTATCTGAAGCATATAGACACAATTGGTTTCCTTATTATCTGAAACATTAGGCACAACTAGACCTAACTGCATCTTAACAGTATAAAAGGACCAAATGTAGATTATTTATTCAAGTAGCCAGCAATATCAGAAAAGATTACTTGTCGTATTTCAGGTAGCACTTTGTGCAAGACACCTTTATATTCACAGAGCAGTTTCACCTGCAGATATCAATTAAAAATACTGGTGACTATAACATTTAATAATTTAAAACATAATTATTTTGATTGATGTAATTGCTTGAGGACAAGAAAAACACACAAATTCATGCATGCCCACACTTGATTGCAGTTTTCATTTCACAAGGCATATCAACAATGAGCTTCATAAAAGTCTATAAAAGAGCAAATATTTTTTAGTCATTTTGATATAGTGAGAACTTTTCAGTTTTCACCAATAATGCATCATTAAGTGCTTCAAGATTGTTAGTAGGCAAAAACCTTGAACCATTGAAAAAGCATAGGAAGTGCAGCCAATCATATTACACACCTTCCCTTCATAATTTAAACACTGATGATTGAATGAAGCATTTATATCTGCAACAAGGAAATGTCAAATGTAGAGGTTAACAATATACCAGGATGTGTTTCAATAATGAGCACCCATATAGGTGAAATGAACCATAGGTTAACTGTTAACCAACATCCTCCTTCATAAAATGTTAATTCAAACTCCAACATTTCACCGATATTCCAGTAAACAAATTATCATGATGATTGCAATGTAAATTAAAATGGACAAAATCATTCTCACAGAAGGCAGGATGGATCACCTTCTCAAGAAAAAAAAAACTTTTTTCCAGCAAATTAACTACCCCTCTATCCCATTATTAAACAGAATGAAAGAAAGACGAATGCAAATGTCTATGTTCAACAGGTAAAATCTGGCTTTCTCTATAGAAGGTAAAGACAAAAAGAATAATGCAAATATGTTCTCAAAAGACTTGCCTACAAGAAGGAAGGATCAATACCTGGATTTGAATAAAAACCCAGTATTATTGTTTGCCTGTAAAACCTGGCATGATCATCAAGATACCTACAACAGAAATACACAAATGAACCTCAAAATCCTGGTGTAGAAAAAGAAGAAAGAAATGTATGTCACTTCTGACCCTTTTGCATCTAAGAACCTTGAATGTAAAATGCAATTAATACAACAAATAAACAATGAGAAGTATATAAAACAACAGGGCAGTCCCTCCTGCAACATCCAAGCGAATGAAAATGATGAGAGAATACAATAGCATGCATGCGAAAATGTGTGTTTTTTTAACAAGCCCAGCTTCAGCTTAAAAATGGTTCTTTTTCCCACTTATATTCAATGGCATTCTTTTTACTCATAGGACCATATATATTTCTTAGCTCAATGTTCATAGACCTCAGACTAACTCAATGTACTGATTTTTGTAATTTGCATGAGGGCCTGTGTGCATGTCTTCTTCCATCTTATAGGAAGAAAACATACCAAGAGATATATAACATTTAACACTGGAAAAACTTGCTATTAGCAATTGAATGAGACAAGAACTTCCTAATTTTGTAATTTGCATGAGGGCCTGTGTGCATGTCTTCTTCCATCTTATAGGAAGAAAACATACCGAGAGATATATAACATTTAACACTGGAAAAACTTGCTATTAGCAATTGAACGAGACAAGAACTTCCTAATTACCTACAAACAAATATTTTCAATATCTATAGTCAACCATCCAAGGCAAAAATGTCAATCAAAAGGATGTGAGAATAACAATTTAGATTGGCTGAAGAAATAATCAATATAAAGACAGCACAAAAAACATAAATATCTTCGTAGAAAAACAAAGACTAGAAATGTTTTGGATATTATTAAACATGGAGATACTCAAATACAAAGACACTATCCAAAGAGAAAAATGAATTTGGAAAATCAAAAATAGGAGAAAAAAGAATGACATAGGCTGCCTTGACAAGCCAAATATAGATGTAAAAAAGCTAGCGGAAAAATGCGCTTAAGGGACTGAAAGGAACAAGAGAATTAATGCACAAGACCCCAATCAATTCCATTCATGTATTTCATGAAGCCAATAGCAAGTATGAGAATGGCATTTTCTTTCTCTAGCTTTCTAACAAGGCTAGTAGCATTAGCAAAATGAATTAGTAGTGCATCATCAATCATAATTGTCATATACTGTAAAAATTATAATGGAACAAGCAAAAGGCTACACATGCATATGATATGATGGTATATGCCACACAAGGACTAGACAGTTCTTTGCTGTAACATATTCCATAGAATGGGATCATAAGCAAGACATCCCATTAGTGTTCAGTGCACACTCTTAGTGTCTTCATGCATATGTTCATTTTTTAGCCTCCTAGGTTTACTGTTTCCTATTACTTTCTATGTGTAGCAGGATATCTTATCCTCCTCCCTCATTTTAACTTTTCTCTATAATATTTATTCTGCTATCCAGGGGAAAAAATGACTTTCGATTATTTAAGTGGAAATAAGTTTGCCATGTGCTAAATAGAAAAAAGAAAAAGAAAACAAAGATAAAGAAAGGCATACAAATTTTATACCAATCTATGAGGCAAAAAAATAAGAAAACCAACTTCAATGCAGAAAAGTTAACATTGAATGTACCATGGTCTAATGCGCATTACATCTGTTCCTGGCTGCTTAGATGGTAAGCGGTTCAAATGTTCAATAACTGTATGCACATGAGACCAGTTCTGGCAGGTTTAAAAAATAATGAGAAACAACATTCAAATTGTAGTCAAAATCATGGGGAAAATCATTTTTTATAATAAATTAAAGAAATATCACTATGAACCTGCATTGCAATTACATCTGCATGATCAATAATCAGAACCTGTTTAGAATAAATATATACGCTTCATCAATTTCATATTCTTTAATCCATATACAGGGTAACTATATATTGAGATGGAATTGTCATTAAGTAGGATATAACAAGTAGTTAGGGAAACTTACCTCTATCGAAGAAAGAAAATCTACATCTTTTTCCTTATTACTCCCAGCCTCCTCAATTTTCTAACATATAGAACAATCTGATGTTAGCATACATCAGAAATACATTTATTAAGAAAAAAATGGTTCAGTAGAACTTTATAAGATTGAGAGGATTATTAATAAATAAAACCTATTTAAATTCATACAAATTAACAGAATATAGTGCAAAGTTATATAAATAAAAGAAATAAACACATGTTTTTTATGCTTTACTAGAAGGGCCATATGCAATGAGGAAATATAAAAGAAGGTAAGATTGAAAAATTAGTCCCTATACTTGACACCATTGTTTATATGTTGATCCGTTTGTTTAAAAAACCTCTACATTATGGTCCTTACACAAACCATTTACAGATTGTTTCTACCGTTTGCCTTAAGTTATTACAATTTCAGATTTTCATTCTCTCAAGTTGGCTAAAGTTTTGTCCTGAATTGAATCACGCTGATTATAAACGCATTTTTTAAAATTAAGAGACCAAAATGTAGAGCTGTTTATATAGAGACTAAAATGAAAGGAAAAAGTGATAGGCATATATATAAAATATTTTATTTAACCTATAAAGAAAAAAACCACTTTCATTTAATAACATGATGGTATAAAAGTTTCCTTTTCATTTAATAAGTCTGAAAACTGAACAAAAAATAACTGGATAAATAGAACAAAAAACAGACAAAGTTCATTATAGAGAGGAAATGGTCAAATTATAGTTAAATGATAAGGAATCCTCCTTAGCATAAGTAGAAGGGACAAAATATTAGTTTCTAGAGTAAAATATGAATAAGAAAAACCAAAACAACTGAAAAAGGAAAAAAAGAAGGTGCTTACATTGACCAAGGAAAGTGCTGAAGCAACAATAATGTCTGACGTATGGAAATCACTGAACAACTTGATTGTTTTCCTGCACAGAAAAAAAAAACAGAGAACTTAAATTAGAAATGAAAATCAACTCACACTACAACAAATACCGAGTTTAAGAAAAGCAGCTTCCCATGGGTTGAGATTGTATAGTAATATCATATGTAAGTAACTACAAAGCAGAGTATTATCACATGAAATCTAACTCATTTGTCAAATTACTGAAATATTTTTTAAAAAAAATTCAGTTTCCATAAAATCATCTTTTTCAAGAAAATATACAAAAATAAAAGGATGCTTTAAATGCAATAAAAGCACTAATGGAAATGTGGAATAAATAGCGAGCAGGTAAATTGATTTTGGTGCAAGACAGTGCTTGATAGAAACTAGTACCAATGATAAGAAAAGTGAATCGTTATTAATAGAAATACCCAATTCCAGGCCTACTCCCTTGGATATTCTAGAGACCAGTAAACTCTCCCACAACTGAACTATGTTCACTCCATTCCCTCTCTCTTTCCATCCCCATCAGTTATACTGTCCCTTCTATTTACAATTTGGTAACTAACAGAACAGAAGTCCCCTAAACAATCCCAACCCAACAAACTAACCAACCAAATCTCTAACTGCCTGCCATGGGGTTACCCATCATTGCCCCAAGCTTGCATTAAAGATCTATGATTTTTATTGTAGTTTTCACATTAGTGTAACATATTGAAGCAGCTATTTGGAATTACTTAGCACAATCATTAGACTTATTATAGGATTGACACAATATGGAGGTGGCTTATGCAAGCTATGGAAATAGAGCAGCCATTTATATAATTTCTTGAACCCCTACAACACCTACACCAACGATTGGCATGAGCCATTATCAATTAAAAAGATAATCACAAATAACAAAGAGTACAACAGCAATTACAATCAAATCTTATTCACTAAGTGAGGTTAACTACATAAGATCACACGATGCCATTGATCTCAATCCAAATCCAAATCCAAAATTTTAAAAATATGATTAATCAAAAGATCTTTTTCAATAACTTCGTTTAAGATTCTTTTGGGTCTTCAATGACTCCACTTTATTGGACTAAGAGTCACGTAATCCACTCTCCTAATTGATATCTTCAAAAGTATTCTTGGCATATGACCAAATTACCTTAGATGACTTTCAGTCATCTTTTTCACTATAAGTGCTACTGTAATATTCTCTTTATCATGTCCTTTCTCGTGCATCCATCTACATTAGTATTCTTATTTCTGTCATTTGCACTTTTTTCTCATGTTCTTTTAAAGCCCAATATTTACTACCATATAAGATAATTAATCATAATCATATCACAGTATGATAAAACTTTCCTTTTAACTTGATAGATACTTTACAGTGATAAATAATTCTAGATGTCTTTCTCTACTTTAACCACCCAACTTGTATTTTGTAAGTAACATTTTCAATAATTTCTCCATCATTTTATATAATTGAACTCAAGTAGCTGAAACTAGAAACTTATAGTATAATATCATCTTTAATTTTACTTTCAATGCATATTCCTCATTTTGTTTCTTTGCTAAACTTACAATATATATACTTTTTACTTCTACTCAAGTAAAGACCCTTACATTCTAAAGTCTTTCTTCATAATTTAAATTTGGCATTAACCTCTTCTAATGGGTAAGTCCTTGGATATGCCACCAAAAGTTCTCATATAATTACCTTCTCATACATGTTTTGTATAGTGCGAATATATACTACACAGACCACTTTCTTTTCTAAAATCTTCTATAACATTCCTTTTAGTATCTGATCATATACTTTTTTCAAGTCTATAAAAATCATATGTAAATTTTTTTGTTCTAACGATATCTTTTCATCATTTTTTGTGAAAGACCTATAGCTTCTATTGTGGACATTCCAGCATTAAACCATATTGATTTTCTACAATCTCAATTTCCTTATGAATTCTATGTTCAATCAATTTTTCCTACAACTTCATAGTGTGACTCATGAGTTTAATCCTTCTATAGTTTGCACAATTTGAATATCACTCTTGTTCTTGTATATAGGAACCAAAGTGCTCTTCCTTTATTCATTTAGCATATTCTTATATCTCAAAATCTCATTAAAGAGCTTAGTAAATCACATTAGTCTTTGTTTTCCCAAATTTTTCATACTTCTATAGGGATATTATCAGGGTCAATCACATTACTATTCTCCATCCTCTTAAGAGCTTTTTTTTTCCCTCCAACTCGAATCTTACGATAATATGTCAAATTTAAATCATTCGTTTACACCTCTAATCTTGCTAAATTTTCACTTGCCCCTTTCCCTCTTTAAAAAGTTTATACAAATAACAAGTAATGAGTAAAATAACAAATGTTAATGGTGGGTGGACATCCAAAAGCTTCCACATCATGTCTTGGAAAAAGAAAGAGAAAAAATAGCTACACTATAGGAGTATAAATTTATAATTACCTCGTAAATTTTATGCCAATCATAAAGTCATCTTCATTATTGCCACCAAAAAGCATTTGAAAGTCAGTTGCTTTGGAAGACCTATGTTTTGCATTTTCAGATTCTTGGCCATTTTCTGTATCGTCTTTATGTTCTTCACTTCCAAATTTAGCAGAAAAGCGATCCATATGTTCAACACTCACCTGAAAAAACAAACACAAACATCATAAAAGGACGAACAAAATTGTTTATCTTGTTCAAGGAAAATGTCATAAACTAAGATGGATAATATTAGTAAGCAACGCTAGCAGCAATGAGTTAATGGCAAAAACTTGAGCAAAGTTATGTATACCTGCCACTGCAATCATTTCAACTCAGAGTTCAAATGAAGGTTTCAACATAGACATTTGTTGCTGGTCTTAAAATTTCACTACCCATGCAATTTGATATGCATTAAAATAAATACGAATTGGAATTATTAAACTTAGTAAAACAGTAGAAGACTCAAAAAAGAGTTCATCTATATTTCTTTAACCATGTATAACAAAACCTAACCAGCCAAACAAATTTCATGGCTTTACGCTCTAATCAGTATGTCATTTCATTAATTATGCAAAATGATCAATTCAAATGCCCAGCTTAAAATTGAGAACCACGGTTAGCTTGATTGCATGTTTGAAAAATAAAAATAAATGAAAAAGAGGGAACATCAACGTACTTTGTAAGCTGAAGGTGTAAGCTGTACAAGCCTCTTTACAACACGGTACACAATACTTGCCAATGGCAATAAAATCAAAACCTGGAGCATGAAACAGAAAAGAGATACATTAAGCATGCTTAGCATTTCCTAGATAGAAGCTTACTTCTAATTTAAAGATCATTTCAAAGGAATACTAAGTTTATCAAATAACATAAAACAAAAGATGGGGAAGCATTATCAAATCCACAATGAAATATGTATTTCATAGAATACCAAATCAATCAATTATATTAAAAGTTTGACACTTTTTCTAAAGCCAAATATTTCATATGACAGAGAAGCACTAAATGGAAAAACAAATTGCAGAACACTCACTAAAGATTTGAAGTGGTAAATACAATTATAATAAGCAATCCCTCATAACCCAAATTAAGACTCTTTTACCTTAGGACGAGTAAAACCCTGATCTCGAAATCTATCAACATCAGCAACCTCTTCAAGCCTGGTCAGTTTGGCATCATTTTTTTTCACACAGTCTCTGGTTCTGAAGACATGATTGAGCTGTGTATAATAATCATTAAGTAAAAGATGTTCACAAACTCGTTTTTAAATAGAATGACAGGGAAATTTTCTTACAGAATGCATTAAGTATGCATCCATGATGCCTGTGTCTTCAAGGCCTTTGAGGTAGAAAGGCCTTTTGTTACAGCAAAGTATATCACGGTAGCTGCTGCCTGGAAAGAAGTCAACATGAAGTCAATGCAAATAACAACAACAATATCCTTATTCCACTGATAAGTCAGCTAATAAAATGATTAAAAAAATCAAAGTTGAAAAGATACCATGCACCCATGTGCAACATAATGCAAATTAATACACAAAAGAACATAATGAATCTTACAAATACCGTCACAATATAAAAAGCTTAGTGAACATATAAAGTAACAATCAAAGCATGCATTTTATGAAAATTATTTGCATCCAGTTTTCTTGATCAACTGGTTGAAAGAGAGAAAAGTAAATATAGGCTTCTTGATCTTAAACTTTATGCATAATTTAGAACTTTCTTAAATCATAAATTTGAGATGACAAGATGTTCTAAAATACACAACTAAAGGTATTTGACAGAAGAATGAGCGGTATATTTTTTGTCAGTTGCTGAACAGAACAATTGTCCAATTTGAACCATGATTCCTTGAATGCATCTAAAACTGTTATGTGATCTTAAATTAAAGAGGGAAAAAAAAAAAGATAGAATCCACAGCCGTATATACACAAGCTACAGTGTGCCACATCAATTTTCCAATGAGACTATTACAGTAACAAGGTTCTTACATTCTTAATTTAATTTCTCAACAAGCAGGATAAAATAACCACTCTAAAAGAGGGAAAAGTCATTTTCTTCTTTATTTGGCTTTTTGCTATTTCCCTCTATAACCAGCATAATCCCCCACTGGACCAGAAATTTTTACAGAAAATAGAAGAAATATGAAAATTCTCTGAATGAATTAGAAGAAACTGCATCTTAAATACCCGTAGTGAAGTAAACATTCAGGATAAAGATCAAAAGACATTAACAGGCAGGATTTTGACTTTTAATGATTATGACCGCAAATGAGTGAAGCTAGTAATGTAATTGATCATTAAGAAACCAACTTACAAAGGGAGAAAAATATCTTCTGTTTAGGTGAATTAATATCCTTGCCTCCAGATGTCTTGTAGACATCCATCCAGTGCTCATGTAACTTTGCTTTCAGAATGTCACAAGTATTGATATTCAAACCCTAAAAGAGAAAGCGGAGAGAACAATGTCATATGTACTTGAAGGCATTAAGCAAATTGAAGGATGAAAACATCTTTTTTATGCAAATGTAAGATTATCAATTTCTGTGGGGGTGGGGAAATGTACAATGATTAGGATTTTACATACTATAAATTTACAATAAAGCCAAGAAATGGTCAAGGTCAAGGTCAATGCCAAGGGAAAAATGCTTTTCAAAGGAAAAAAAAAACAATAACAATGCACATTCTATTGTCATTGGAAGGGAAACTAATCAAAGTCCCTAAGAAGAAAGTAAGCAACACAAAATTGACTCAATTTACCATTGTTAACTTAAAAAGTAACATTACAAACTGGGATGCAATCAAAAAATCAACAATTAGTCCTATTTACTTCCAAAAATAACAATGGATAAAGGCATCAATGTTGACCACACTCAATATCTAATTAATATTTCCCACCTAACATATAGCATGATCTATTTGAGGGTAAACCATAAACAGAAAGGGATTAAAGACTGTCACTAGAATAAAAAAAGTAGTATTGAACTGCACCAAAGCCAAGCATTCCCCATTCCTTCATGGTTATTGATTGGCATGTGGCTATGAAAATGTACTTAAGTTGCACTTTCACAAAAGGTCACTGAGACATGATCTTGGATGTACCAAAAGAATATAATAACATGAAATACCTCCAAAATATTCTCTCCAGTTCCTGTCCATTTGCAATTTGACATACCAGTAGCTGGAGTCTCCCAGCTGAATTTCCTGTTGCTTTGGCTGTTAATTTCTTCTTTTGACAAATTATGTTGCAAATGTAAATCAAAAGAGCTGCATGGTAAAAACAATGTCAGATTAAAGAATAACAAAGCATGTAAAAAGAAAAGAAAGTACATATGATCTATGAATGCTCAAGCAATACTAAATAATAATAATAATAATAACATTGTCAAGTAACTAGTATTCATTGCAAAACAAATTATGAAACATGTGAGAGATCAAAATTAGAGATGATATACAATTAAAAAATATTTAACATGGAAATCGCTTAGGTAATAAAAATTTAAAAAAAAAAGTATAAATAAAATTAGAGGTGTTTCAGTTTCTAATTGGCATAGAGATTTAAGAGTTTTGACACATCTTATAGCCACTTAGCCCATTTTCTTTAAGTATACCCCTATGTTTCTGAAGATACCTTATACCCCTATGTTTCTGAAGATACCTTATCATTCTTCCCTAGTTTTAGTTTTTCTCTCTTATCTCGAATGAAATTTCTTCCTCCACTCCAAAGAAAAAGTAAAAGATATTTATGTTAACAAACCTCAAATGCACTGAATCCTCAGAAGTTGACTGACCATTAGTTCCAACATCCTCTTCATCTGAATGAATCTCAACATCTTCTTCAGTTTCAGAACCTTCTGTTAATCCAGAATCATTGTCATCAGGATCTTGCCACATACTTTCCACAACTTTGTTTCTAGGAGATTCAATGTCAAACCCTAAGAAAGCAAAGGGTAATAACATCATCAAAAGGATATGCTATTGAAGAGGGGAGATTTCAGAAAAACAAATAATCAGTCTCGGAGTGCCGAAGCATGCAATCAGGAACCAATAATTAAATTTACAAAACAATGGCATGACAAAAGGATTTTACATAAAGTTCTATAAAATAAAATAGAATTCAGATACAGCATCTAATATAATTAAAGACCCATAGCTTACAAGAAAATTTTATGGACCCAATCATAATTCACACAAAATAAAAACAACATTGACAGCTTTGCCACACACATCAAAATTTTGCCTTAAATTTAAATACATAAATCTAAAATATGTTTAATCAAACCTTGCTCTTCATTATGGTCATCCTCCAGTATGCTACAAGATTTAAGGACATTGGCAATTTTCCTCTTTTCCTCCCTTTTACCTTCTTTCTTTTTTATCTCAACTTTACCTTCTTTTCTTTTCCTGAAAAAGGGACAGAGCAATGCAAATTATTAACTTTTAGAAACTTGAGGCAACCAAAAACAAAATTTTTTTTATGAGACTGATACAACATTTAATCATTTAAACAAAGGAGTAAATTATCATGGACCACTGCAACTCTAAGTTTACGACATGCATAAAGAGAATTAATAGCATGAAAGGCCGCAGCATGAGAAATTTTGATTTATATCGTTATGTGGTAGAGCAATAAAAGTAGACGAGTTTTATCTAACCAAGAATAATCAATTAAGAGAGCTTTCACGGGATGAAGTTATAAATAATCAATCAAATAAATGCATGTTTGGTAAGATATTACTATTTAGTGATAAAAAATAATCACTTATTTTTCAAAAGTCTCTTTAACAAAAAAATAAGCTATTATTTCTTCAAAATAAGTTAAACCAACCAAACACACACTTAACTCTGAATAACAAGTAGTATATAAAAGAGAGCAATAAAAGACAACTCCAATTAGACCAAACAAAACCATCAGTATTACCTTTTCAAGTTAGACTCGGAAGGAGTAGCAGGTTTTGGCGTCCTCATAGCGTTAGAGCTTCGTTACGATGATTTCCCTGCGTAGTGTTAGAGTCAGTGAGCAAATCGTTAACAGCAGAGCCACAGCAACAGAGAAAAATCACTTTCGTACTGAAATTCTAAAATCACGTCATCAAACAGGGAACAATGAAAAAACGGAAACGTTGTTACGGCGAAGAAATTAAGTTCGGGGAAATCGAGCTAGATTGAGAACGATTTTGAAAGTGAAGTGAAGCTTAAAAGCAATGTTTCATCATCGGAATGTCGTAAGAGTTGTTGGCAAATGTTTGTTCACGAATATCAGTATCAACGAGTTCTTAATATTGCTAACATAGCCATGGCGAACAACAACAATATTGAGCACGTGATTTCTGACTTAGAATGTGTGTGTGTAAAATGAAGAAGAACCTACCGGCGACAGAGATGGAGTGCTACGGCGAACGGCGAGGGAACGGAGTTTAGGGTTCTGAGGCGGAGAGGCAGGAACTCTGCAACTGTTTGCAATATTTGAACTTAGAAGAACCAGTTCCGCAGCTCAAGGGCTTTCAGATTTTCGTTGACATCAGTTTTGGTTCGTAACAATAAAATTTTGAATTTTGGATAAAAATAAGTAGGGATGTGGATTTGTTCAAAACCAAACAAAAATTATTTTAAATTTAATTATATAAATTAGGTTTTAAACTAATTTAATTTATTTTTTTTAAAATTGATTTTAAAATTTGAATATAAATTTATTTTAAAATCAATAAACTATATTATAAATATTTTTATATAATTATTGAATTGTTATATTAAAAAATAAATTTTATAATAATTAATAGAAATTATATTTATATATATTTTAATAAATTAATAATATAATTTTTTATATTCATATTATATTAGTTAAATTAATATTTTTTATTTTATATCATCATTTATCTGCTTTACAAAAATTAATTATATAGATTGAATTTTAAATTAATTTATTCTTTTAAAAAATAATTTTCAATTTTAGATTTTTTAAATTGGTTTAAAATTTAAATTTAAAATTAATTTTAAATCTAATAATTTATTTTAAGTTAGTTTTAAACTAATTTTATTTTAAATTATTTTTAAAATTATTTTTAAGATAAAATTAATTTTTAATACATTTATAAATTTAGTTTTCAATATAAAATTACTTTGTTGTAATGCACTGTTATATTTAATTATTTTATTTTAAAAATTTAGTAATTTTTATTCATTATATTATAAAATTAAATAAAGTTAATGATAAAAGTTTAAATTAAAACGTATAAAAAAATATTAATATTAAATAATAATAAAATATTATTATAATATTTTTTAAATTAAAAACATAAATTTAAATATAAAATAATAAGTAATTAAATTGAAATTTTTATTATATTTTATATCTTTGATATAATAATTATATTTTAAAATTATTATTTTAAATATTTAATCTTAATTATAAGAATTAAAGTTAAAAAATATTAATTATAAAATATAATCAGGAAAAAAATTGTGAAATATTAGTTATAAATTTTTATAAAATATAAAAAAATATCAATAAAATATATCAAAAGGCCTAAAAGATGAAGTAATATATCTATACATAATATAAATTTAGATAAAAAATATAGTTTTAAAAAATTGGTCGAAAGAATTAAATGGTTACAAATATATGATAAATAAAAAATTTAATTTAATGTAAATTCAAAATTTTTAAATTGATTTAATATTGGTTATAGATTGAACTTGCATAACTAAATTTTTTGTCCAATCTTAAGAATAAATGAAAAAATAAAAAAGAAAAAAATGAAATTTTATTTTTAAAATTTTACATTTATTTTTTTTTATGAAAAATGTTATTCCTTATAATTTTATTCTTAGTTTATTATAAAGTTGTGTTTGTATATCTGATTTTAAATTCAAGTTATATTAAAGTAAAAAATTTTGTCAATAATAATAATCTTACTGAATTCAAACAATATTATAAAAGATAGTTGTGATTTAAAAAAATTATATATAAATAATAAAGAGTTTAAGCAGAAAAAAATATTTTAAATATTAATAGAAGAAAATACAGATATAATTTGGATATAAAAAAATTTATTACTTTTATGTATTTTAGAAGTTATATATTATACTTATTTTAAATTTTAATATAAGTTGATGATGTATTAAATAAATTTAAATTAATTTTAAAAATAGATATAATTTGGATAAAAATAATAATTTAATGAATTTTAGAACAAAAATATTTAAGAAGTTAACAAAATAGAATTTAAAAAAAAAATCAATGTAAAAGCTGAAAATTTAGAAAAAAATTTAACGCTAAAAAACATTAATTATAATTGATGTTTAAGTTAAATTTAGAAAAATGTAAAAAGAAAATTAAGAATACAATAACTAATAATTTGATATTATATGTGTATAATCAAATTTAAATGAGTTAAAACTCTATTTGGATTCATTAACTTACTCAAAGATATTTTTTTAACTTATTAAAACAAATTATTAAAAAAGTAAACTTCTAACTGTGATTGGTTCAACTTAGTTGGAAAAAAAATCCCTTATTTTAATAATTTATTTGAAATAAATTTTTTAAATAAGTAGTTTTTAAAAAAATTATTTTCAAACATGCTTAATACTTTAGGTCATGTTAGAATTTCAAAAAAGTAAAAATCAAAGTTTTGAATTTCAGAATCAGATTGAACTAAAATCTTATAAAATTTAGTCTAATCTATTAAGCAAATAAAAATTGTACAGCTCATTTTTACTCTTATTATTGCAAGGACAATGAAATATGTGTAGTTAGATTTGAGCAAATTAAAATTTACTACTAACAAATTATAGAAAATATAGATTAAATTGAAATAATATAAATAGTTTTTATTTATGTCTGACACAACTTTAATTTTTTGCATTATTTTTTATATATATAATATCAAATCTATACATCCATATACTTGGAAATATTTTGAATAAACATAATCCGAATAACCATAACAAATTAATTATTTAGTTTACAACTTTCTATTTTAAACAAATTTTCATGTTATAACAATACAAGCCATCACCATAGTATAACCTCAACCAGAAAAGTTTTTTCCAGCATCAACAACTCTCACAGGATCATATATACAATAAATAAAGCAATCAAAGGAGATCATGGCCAATCTTTCTTTATTACATGTTACTCTCCTCCTCTTATTCACAGTAGGTAAGTTTGTAAAACACATTATACTACACTTTAAGAGTTATATTGTCCTTGAGTACATGTAGAACTGGTTATTACCACTAACTTGTTGTAATTGTAAATTCTTATTTGTTGCATCATGATTGTTGTCATAGGGGATTTGATGGCTACAGTGGTCGGTGATAGGTGCAAGGAAGATTATGGAGTTTGCCAAACCCAATATGCTTGTAACGTGGGGTGCTCTAACAATCATAAAGGTGGTCAAGGTATTTGTGAGCTTAACGGTGAGAACCAGCTACGTTGTTGGTGTTTCTATGATTGCCCTTCTTCCAAAGTATGTGATGTAGGTTTGGATGTTTTTGGAAGTTGTAATGGCACTCAATGTGATCTTGCTTGTGCTGCTAAGTACCCAGGACGAGGAGCAACTGGATATTGTTATAGCATTGGAGATCCAACGCTTGATACTTGCCATTGCAAGTATTTTTGTTAACTTTCTTTTTGCCTAATGTTTTGGGATGTGTTAAGTTGACGATGCGACTATTGCATATCAAATAATAAAACCTATTTGCAAATCAGATGACAAAACTTGGTATATGCATGAACCATCTTCCATACGGAACATGCTACATGAAACGTTAACATGGTCGCTTACTTTAAAAAATATATATAATACACAACCACTCTGCTAAAATTTATAAGAATAAAGGTATAAAAGAAAGAATTAATGTTTTTTAAAAACAAGCTAGAGTCACCAAGATCATAATTAATTGCAGTAATTATATCAAATTATTGCAATATTTTCATTTATAAAACTAAAAAAAAAATTACAAATAAGTAGGAATACTAAAAATGTTAAAACATTCAACAAAGATCATGTTTCATATATATCCCACTAAAATATATGCATTTGCTCATGAATCACCAATACAGTGTTAGATTTGTTAGGTCAAATTCTCTTGACCAAGTGTATTTTAATAATCATAGTAAACTTCTTAGCAAAAAGACATTATAAAATTTTCTGAATTTGTAGTCTTATTAACGGTTTTATTTAAGTATAAAATATAAATTAAAAAAGTATATTTAACAATTTTTTTAATATGTTTCTCTCTTTTATTTGACCTCATCCAAATAGGTTTAAATGCAACATTGAGATTTGAAAAGAAACAATAAAAACAAGATGAACAGATTAGCATCCTAATTTATATTTTTGAGAGATTGTTCTTGACTCGATAGATTATTATTATTATTATTATTGTTGTTGTTAGGTAATAATTTTTTTAATACAAGCTTAGATGAGAGTTGGAATGGAGCAATAATTTGTTGTTGAATGGATAAAAACAAGAGTAAAAAATGAAAAAAAAAACTGTGAAATTCCTTTTGCTTTTATCATCTTAATTTATAATCTATACAAATATTTACAAATTTAATCAGCGAATAAAAATTAGAATTAAAAACACGCATATAATACACAGAATATATATATACTAGTTAATACGTTAATTTTTTGTTCAAATCAACTGAAGATTATAAAAAGTAAATATGATCCAACGAAATTTTAAAATGATATTGCATTAATTTTATATTTGAAAATATTAAATTCAATCACATTCAGGTATACATTTAATTTAATTTAATGAGGGATGAGGGATGAGGGATGAGGGACACAATCATAATTAGCGTGATACGTTATCAAAAACAACAATGCATTCAATTAAAAATATTCTATTTACAAATTAAACCCCTAAAAAATTGTCGTCTTAAATGCACATTAGTGACACAACACAAGGCATGACCATTATATATATCTTCAATTAGAATCCACAATCTCCCATAGACGAATCAAATACTTTGTACCCAAAACGATTAGAAGCAAGCATGGCAAAGTTGTGCTTACTGTATGCAGCAGCACTCATCCTCTTGTACACATCAGGTTTTGTAATCATGGGTAGTACTAAATTACTACAGAGCATAGCATTGTATTCAATTGTTTTTGGTATGAATCTAACTTTAATGTGTGATAGGTGGCATGATGGGTATGGTGGCTGGTGATAAGTGCAATGATGATTTGGGTGTTTGTCAAAGCAAGCAGTCATGTAACACAAAGTGCTCTCGTTTGCATAAAGGTGGGAGTGGGATTTGCCAGCCCAATGGTAAGGCCCAGAAGTGTGTGTGTTCCTATGATTGTGTTCTTCCCAAAGTATGTGAAGTAAGTTTGGGTGTTCTTGGAGGCTGCAATAAAGATCAGTGTGTAAAGGATTGTGTTGCTAAGTATCCATACAAAGGAACTACTGGCTTTTGTTATAGTGTTGGAGATCCTACCTACAATAATTGTCATTGCAAGTATTTTTGTTAATCTTTCTTTTTTCTTTGCCTATCACAATGGCAC